GCCCTAAAACTTTATTGAAACGTGTTATTTTTTCTTCAAACCTCCTGTTCACGTCGTGACCCTCGGTCAGACCCTGGTCCTCATGATCCAGCGTCTCCGGTTCAGCCGGACTCTCTCTCTCCTCCAGTTATTGACTAAAACTCGTGTAGAAACCTCCTCATCTCCTGTAGAGAGCGTGACTCCGTGTGACGTTAGAAACAATCTGTGGTTGTGATTTATCTGTTCTTTCTCTGTGTGAAGGATCACAGCGCCACCTACCGGACAAACCACATGTGATACTCTAAAGTAAAATGTCACAACACACCTAAAATCTAAAAGTGACTTCCGGTGACGTGCTTCTAAATAAAAGCCCCAGTATGTTGATGAAGAACGGTGTAAAATGTTATTACTGATATTACTGATAACACCATTTACATCTCTGGGGATTTCTATTATTATTTCCACTATATTAAGCAGTCCGAGCTTAAATACAACAGTACGCAGATGCTCCAGGTCTTCTCTCCCTCCTGTCGCCTCACCTCTGAACCCAAGCGGTGGAGGAGTGGAGCAGAAGGTCAGCGGTTCGATACCCGGTTGTTACAAAACTGGAGAAAAGCTTCAGGGGTTGCTGCACAGCGTAACTGAGGTCTTTGTCAATAATGTGGCCGTCTGATAAACATAGAACAGTGATGTATTATCCACCAGACAGTGACAGAGGAAAAACCAAGATTAAGATTAATTGTCTGAGTGAAGTTGTTAAACTGGACACCAGCTGATTGTGACTGATTTCTGTCTTTAACATGCATATTGTGTTGACTTTTTAATGTTTTGACCTTTGAACCCTGACAGGTTGACTGACACGAGTCATCCATATTGTTTTGTCAGTGTTGCACTTGCATGTTACTGTCCTCATGTTTACATGTCACATAATGTAAATAAATTATAAATAATAAAGCTTTCAAACAAAGTGCAGATTGAACTATTTTATTTATTTATAAAACATTTCAATATAAAAACAGAAAAAAGAGAGTAATAAATGTCCCTCAGGTCCTCTTCATCTCCTCCCTCCGCAGTCATAACGCCAACAGTCACACAGTAGGTCACACCTGCTGTGACAGCAGGACATGGAGTGGCCCCTGTCCTGCTGTAGAAGCCTCGGCCGCCTTTCTCTCCCTGTAGGCGGTGGTCCTGGGTACACGCTGTGGTCCAGGAAGAGGAGGTGGCTGTAGAGAGGAGGAGGGAATGATGCTGGGGCGAGGGGAGGGCCACCAGCAGAGGACAAGGGGCCAGGCTGCTTGTTGTCTGGAGGAGGAGGAGGGAGACCCCTGCTGGAGGGCCCAGGCTGCTCCTCGGGGAAATGGAGGTCACAGGGTTGTCCTTGTCCCACCTGCACCAAGAACAGCCCCTTTGTTGGAGTCTGGTCAGTAAAAGCTGGAGCAGGGACAACGCCACTTCCCTGCTGCAGCACAGACTTCTCCAGTTTAGAGAAGCTGGAACACGCAGACAAACACAGACGGTTTCAGACTCTCCAGCTTTCATTAAAAGAGAAATCAGAGTACAGATTACAACTCACCAACACAGCTCCATGTCAGACTCTCCACTGGGACAGGGTCTCTGGTTCAGCTCAAACAGCTGGATGTTTCGGGGCCCTGAGAGCTCAACACACTGCAACTGAAGAAAACACATGCAAACACACAAACATGCTGCAAGTTCAGAAACATCTCAACCAATCTGACAACATGAGCTGCAAAATATCACAACACAACGGAAGTGTTTCCAGGGGACACTAAACAGTGATGAACCTGGCTGGGACTTGTTCAATGCCCAATTGTGACTTGTGAAGTTAAAAGCATTAAATAACAAGTGAGTCCAGCAGGTTCATCACTTTTTTCTCTCTCTTTTTTGTTGTTGCCGTAATTCCAATACGTCTATAGAGAGAGGATGCGGTGGCTCAAAGGGCCACGGGTTGGACTCGAACCCGCGCCGCTGCAGTTATGATTACGTCTTCATGGTTCAACAGCATCGTTACTGATAACGTGCCAATTCAAATATCTGTTAGCAGCTAGCTTCAGAGCTCCTGGACTGTTGAATTACATATGTATGAATGACAGAAGCTTAATTTTCCCGCCTCAACATAAACAATTGATGTAAAAGCAGCAAACAGCATTAGCACTGTAGCACTGTACAGACCGACTGACAGCGGTGTGTTAGCATCATGTTTTTAGCCTAAAAGACGATTTGAACAGCACGAATATTAGCTGGCTAGTTCACAACAAATACAAATACTGTACATCGTGAATTCAATTAACTTAAAATGATAATTTTTTAACGTTTTGAGAACTATGAAGCAGCAGATTTACGGTGTAAACAGTGATACCGATCACTGAGCATTTCACAAAGTGCCGTAAAAACACTTCGGTTAACAAAGTTTGACTTAAATATCTGTCAGAAACAAGAGTTTGTTAGTTTTTCACAAATATATGATTAAAATGAAATAATATTTAACTTACAACTTATCCTCTGTCTCCCCGATAGAAAATACTTCGCCTTGCCGGTGGGCGTGGCTGATGGCAAGTTGGAACAAATCCGGTTCTCCCATTGGACGTCCCAAAGTTTGATTCTCAAAGTTGGAACAAATCGAGGCATCTGATTGGCTGTCTGTTCTCTGGATTTGGAACAAATGGAACAAATGTAGTACGGTGATTGGGGAGGCGGGACATCGCTGAGGACAGCCATTGATCAGAAGTTGGAACAACTGGGACACCGGCTAAATGATTGTTTTTGTCCTGCACTATGGATTTTTTAGTTTTTTTTTCTGGAGAACTTAAAGATCTATAAATAAGATATTGGTGCAAGTGTTTATGACTGCTGACCGGTGTCTTATGAAATCGACTCACAATGTGAAACAGCAAAAACTCAGATTTAGTTAATTAAAATTAATTCATCTTTCAGTTGGTTAAATTATCTGTCAGACCTCTGACACTGAGACCTCCTCTGGGTCCAGATCATGTTAATTAATTCATGACATTACTGTAAGAACTACTGTGATATACAGCTGGGGGGTAGCAGCAAAAGGTGATGAGGTCACGAGGGTTCACCTGCCCAGCAACACCTGCACACACTCCCAGACATCGTACTCACTGATTGGTCCTCCTCCGGTATCTTCAGGGACGTTCAGTTTGGTAGAGCAGTGTTTCTGTGTGTTAAGTGTTATCCTTTATGTGGCTGACTACAATCTATTGAAAAGAATTTAAAAAGTCTTAAAAGTCAGGAGAAAAGTCCTCTCCCACAGCTGAGTGTGAAACCTCCTTTATATGATCAGCTGATTGTTTATAAAGTGTGTCTGATATCAACACTGGGCATAGACAACACGCCTTCCATTCGTTTCCAACTGCAGCAAAGCTTTCTCAACAACTGGTCAAAGAAACACGTTATATAGTAAGTTTTATTTTGAAGGACACTACAGGAAGTGTTTTCTTGATATTCGTGTTGATTTACTGGAGGTAAAAGTGTCAATAAAAACATTACAACAAAAAAAAACAAGATTCATTTTCCAACTTTTTCACTCAGACGATGATGACATGAAGCTTCAATTGAAAAAACATGTTTTTCTCTCAGTTTCAGCCTGAAACTGATCTTTATTAAAACCTGTGTCCAGAGTTTGTCAGTGTTTACTTGTTAAAGTGCAGCTCAGTGCTTCATTGTGTTCAAATACAACAGAAACAAACTATGTACACGATTGTAAAAGAGGGTCAGAGGTCAGATCATGTAACAAACATGTTTAGTGTTCAGAGAGGACAGCCCCTCCTCTGGGCTCAGTCCTCCAGCTGCCACAGGACAGTAGCTCACCCTCTCCCCACCTGTCCTCCTCAGCTGTCTGTGGCCCATCTTCAGGATCATCCTCAGTCCGCAGCAGCTGCAGCAGCGGGAGCAGCAGCCCAGGAAGGCCCAGCTCTTGAGCAGCTGTGAAACGTCCGTCTGCGCAGTGAACACACAGCTGTTGGTGTTGAACATAAGTTCTTCACATTTTTACTGTAAATATTTTATTGTTTAATTATTCTATTAAAATTTAAGTATTTAATAAGCTCTTCAGGTGTTTTGCTTGCAAAAAAATTAAATTGAAAGATAAGTAGAAACTAAATCTGTCAAATAAAAATGGTGCAGTAAAAAGTGCAATGTTATTATTAACTGGAATGAAAGTTGCAAGTAGCTCAAACTTAAGTGCAATACTTGAGTAAATGTACTTAGTTACTTCCCACCACTGTCTATAGTTGAATCTCTAATGGGCTGTTATACCGAAATCAAGAGCAGAATACCCAACTGTTCAAAAGCTCATCGGGTTGACATCTGTCTTTATTTATGTCCAATAAAGCAGCAGTATTTCTATAATGGAGTGTTTTTTGAGTGGAGTTCGGTGTTGGCTTCGGTGTCTACGGATTGCATTAAGCTACAAAGGCTGTTAGCTAGCGACACCCGTAGCACTGAAGCTAACAGTGAACTCCGCTTACATCTGCTCTAAATTATCACAACACTTCAGCTATACTGGAAAAAACACCGAGATACATTTAAACCGAAAAACTTTTCTGAAGCACAGCGAGCTGCTCTTTAATTCGGCATACACAAATTTAAAAAAAAACACTAGTTCTTTCTGTAACATTTTATTTTAATTTTTGGGGCTGCGTGTGTTTGCCCAATTGCCTTCCGATAGTTTCGTAGAGATCGAACCAAGACAACCCACAATTTAAAACAAGGTTTCCCACAAAATGTAATTAAACTATGACTAAAGTTAAAGTTTACCGCTGGGATAAACGTTTGTTGTAGTTCATAAAGTTTTGGAGGAAAAAAAAACTACGTCTCTTAAGGTCGTCTGAACAGTTGCGAGATAGAGTGTGATTATTAATGTAAATGTCTGTCGCTCTTTCACTCACGTGTTTTCATAAGACTTCTGAAGTGACATCACTTTGAGGGGTGAATTAATGTTATAATCCAGTGTTTGGAAGTTGGTTAAATAAACATCAGTTTTCAGGATCCACCTTAACCCGCAGAGCTGTTCCTGTGAGCCACGGATCAGAGCCGCAGCCTGAACACGGACCCGCTCACACTTCGGTTTCCTGACAGATCCACGCTGCTTTCTGCGGCTCAACATGAATTTGTCTGAAGCTAAATCGGAACTGAAGCATCTGCTGAGTAGAGTGAGTCCGTCCGAGCTCCCGAAACTCCTGGACTGGATCAGAAACTCAGGTAAACACTTCACCTGCCCTGTTGCACATGATCACTTATGACAGCATGTCAGAAAACTGTTCTTCCCGCGGATCTTGAACATGAATCAGACCATCTCATCTGAATCGAGGAATCATGAGGTTATGAACTTAGAAGTGTATGTAAAGTTAAAATATTCACATGGAGACCTAATTTATTTCACATGGGATTGAACATGTGTGACTGTATTCCAGGAAAACATGTTTAAGTTTATCTACATATATGTGAAATATACTGAAATTTAGCATAAATTAAATATTTGAATATATGTTTCAAAATACTTTTACATACACAGAAAAGTAATATGTTAACAAATTCCACAAATTTAAATATGTACATATATTAAAAATTAATGTATTTACATAGACGGAGAACTACTCATATTTACATATAAAGCAATTGATATATTTAACCCTTCCCAATAAAATTATATTTACATATGTCTAATATATGTTAAAAATATTTTAAAAGTGGCCAAAATCAACTATTAAAATATATTTATTCACTAGATTTCAAAATATATTTACATATAAGTTTGAAATGTATTTTCTCTTATTTAGATTCAATATATTGAAATATATATAACACTCTTTACTATGAATATATTTCAAACTATGTAACTTCTCTGTGGGACTGCCACTCCCCCCTGGGCAGCATAAATACATAAGTGAAAACATAAACTTGTTCCAACCATTAAACTGGTGGATGACTCCGTCTACGTGTCTGCAGGATGTGTACAGGCTGTGATAAAGAATCATGGATGGATCATGACACAATGGGACCCTGGGCACAGACATTTAAAAGACTGTGACTACATTACCCAGAAGGCCGTGTGTGTGTATGTCCTGCAGACGAGCTGGATGACCTGCTGGTGGACAACAGGAAGGTGATGCTGCAGAGCATCGCAGATGACCTGAGAGCCAGTCTGCCTCTGGACGCCATGTTACCCTCTGAGACCGCCGCCCACCACAAGGTACTACACTGATATTACATAATACTGCAAGCAAGTACTTCAAATGGCTGAGAAAACTATCGCACATTAAAGTTCTGGGTGTTGATAATGAAATAATAATATGAGTAATGAGTAGTTTCATATCGGGTTGTAAGCAGCGGTGGAAGAAGAATTCTTTACTCAAGTAAAGTCAAAAGTACTAACACATCACTGATGATGATGATGATGATGATGGTGATGATGATGATGATGATGATGATGATGATGTGTGTTGAAGATGCAGCAGCGGTCGCAGCCGACGGTTCACGTGGACAGTTTCCTGTATGATGACGAGCAGGTGGACTCTCTGTGTGAGGAGGGGACCATGAGCCGGAGCTACTGCCTCAGCTGTGGCTCCTACAGGACGGCACCTCTGGGTGGGAACATCATCATCATCCCCACTGACCTTTGAACTCAGAGCAGACACACACACACACACACACACACACACAGGCCGCTCTGAGCAGCTCTTACACACAGTAATATTCCTGCTTTGTTAGAGTAGAGGCGACACCACGGAAAGATGAATGTGGAGCTCTAGACCTGCGGTTCCCAACCTTCTCCAGCTCAAGGCCTCCTGAAATTCTCAAAACTGTTGGCGGCTCCCGACGCCGTAACAAGACGGAGAACAAGAGTTGATTCTCAAAGCTGGTTCTTTATTTTGATCATCTGTCTCGCTGCGTCAGCAACAACATAAAGTTCCTATCATTAGTTTATCACAGTGATACGAGTTTAATACGAGAACAAAAATAATGAAACAAGTTTTTCAAGATTTTGAAACCTTTAAAAACATTATTAATATTATGTTATTATAATATAATGACATCTTGCCACTAAAATTGTGCTGTTTTGCAAATGATTTGTCGGCCCACTTGCAATACCTGAGCGGCCCACCACTGGGCCCCGGCCCAGAGGTTGGGAACCAGAGTTCTGGAGCATCTGAGGCCCCCAGACTGCAGCCTGTTGTGTGACCTGGTCCTCACTGTGGTCCTCTGGTCTTCCTGCAGACTTCCTCTCTCACTCCTTCTCAGTGTCCGAGCTTCAGTTTCTGTTCCAGAACGTTCTTCCAGACCTGAGCGGTCGCACGCTGGTGGATGTCGGATCCAGACTGGGAGCTGTGCTCTACGGGGTCAGAGGTCACCACACACACACACACACACACACACACACACAGACCTGTTGCACTATCCTCGTGGGGACACATAATACATTCCTGAGCCCCTTTTACACTGAACAAAAAACCTGTGAAAGTTGTTCACAACATGTTCAGTAAGTGCAGAGTGAAGACACAGAGTATAGAGACCTGCAGCGCCCCCTGGAGGACACTCAGTGGAGGACACACCTTCGCCAAAGCAAAACTAAAATTAAATTAAAGGAAAGCGTGCATTGCTATTCAAAGTGTGTGTGTGTAGGGGTATTGTTGTGATGTCGTTTGAGTTAGATTGTGTTGTGTGTGTGTTATTAGTGTGGTTCGTGTGTATGTGCGTGGGTGGGATAGTTGTTGTCCGCTGTGTTGTATGTGCGTGTTTATGGTGTAAGTGTGTTCGTGTGTGTGCATTGTTGTGTGTTGTGTGTGTGTATTTGTGTGTGTGTTGTGTGTATGTGTGTGCATTAGTGTGTGTGTGTGTGTGTGTCCTCACCTGACTTGCTCGCTGGGCACCCATGAGAATCGAAGACGTTGTTCATGACCAGAACATCGGTGTTCTCAGCCAGAACATCCGGCGTGCAGACGTCAGCATGGAGAACCTGCAGCAGAGTCCACATCAGCACCGGACCAGACCACGACTGTCATCAGTCATACACACACGCACACAACACACACACACACACACACACACACAACACACACACACACACCCACACACAACACACCAACCTGAACTCTGTCGTTCAGTCTGTACTTCTGCAGCATGTTGTTCTGCAGCTGACAAACTCCTCACTGAGCTCCAGGCCGAGCAGGCGAGAGGCCGAGCTGGTACACGTAACCTGAACGCACCACAGGCACCAGATACACATTAACACAGATAAACAGTAACACACATTATCTACATACAAATGTTACGTTCAGTTACTTTTGTTTATTTTTTCTGTCGTACGATGAGCTGCTTGACGAGGGTTCGTTTCACACTCGTCCTCTTCACTTGTCAGGAGGATTTCACACAGAAATTACTGGACTGATTTGGCAGTACAACCTGGTGGAGGGATGGGACCTGGTCCAGGAAGACCACCGGACCTGGTTAAGGGGCGGAGCCAGAATTTTCTTTTTAAT